AATACAGTAAGTGGCTTTTCATTTGCATTCACCAGGAATCTCCCACCCATTGCTGCCAAGTCAATTCTGATTCATGATTACCCTACAGCACAGGACATAACAGCTCCACAGGGCTTTCAAAGCTGTAGACCTTGATGAAAGCAGACTGCCACATCTTTCTTTCATGAAGTGGCTGGTGGGTTCAAACTACTGATCTCTTGCTTGGTAGCTAAGTGCTTTAACGATTGTCCTACCAGGTCTCCTTCAGGCGCTTTGGTTGCCTCTGTAGTAGTTGCACCATTAGTACACTTTGTTGTTGTTGTTAAGTGCTGTCGAGTCGGTTCCGACCCATAGCGACCCTGTACAGGGTTTCCGAGGGTGTAAATCTTTACGGGAGTAGAAAGCCTCATCTTTCTCCCGCGGAGCAGCTGGTAGTTTTGAACCGCTGACCTTAAGGTTCGCAGCCCGATTCGTAACCACTACGCTACCAGAGCTCCTTTAGTACACTTTAGGCCAGATTAAAAAAGATTATTATAGCAAGTGATGCTTGTGGTAGTTCTAATTATCTGAACTTCTTTCAGATGAATGATAAACCACCAAAGAGATGTTCCTGTTAAGATGCTGGATGCATTACTCATCTTGTCTCTTTGGGAGGTGGATGAAGAAGGATCAGTGAAGGAAATTCACAAGGCCCAATAACTTTCCTTTCATTTTCCATCCTGACCATGTGTGGGTTGATATTGCCTAGAAACACCAGCAAATCAAACTTTGTTGCTCAGATGATTTAGGTAGTAAATCCCTGCACATTTTCTCTTTCTCCTTGTTCAGCATTTGTCCTGCCAGGTCACAAGTCCTGCTAGGAGAGAATGCTTTTGAGCAGGGATAACATAGGTTCATTACATGGGCTCTGATACCTCATGCGTGATCTGTGAGTTCTCTGTTAAAAATTGGATGATGTCAAAAAGGAAACCCGAGTGTTATCATTCAAAAGTGGACAACATACTCCAGAAGATTTTGTGGTCTTTTTTTTTTTATATATATATATAATTTCTTCTCTTCATCACGAAGTCTGGCTTTGATCACTCAAGTAATTGCATCATCAGAGCATTATTTTGATCTTTGCTCCCAAAGGATGCTTTTGTTTAAGAATTGGGATTTATGTGATTGAGCAGCTCTCCTGATGGCTAGTAAATACGCTGTATATCTGGAATCTTGAACAATCACAGCTTTGGGGTCAAGGGTGGAATTTTACAGATGTAATCACAAGCTGGCATTTTCCACACATGTTTTGAGACTTTATAGAAAGGAGCACTGAAGTGACTAAAATGTTAGCAGAGTTTTGAAAGAAATCGGAAAGAATTAAACACCTTTTTAAAATCAATTGGGATTTTTTTTTTTTTTAGCTTCTGCTAAAGAAATCTGAGGTTAAGTCCCAGACTTCAGAGATCCATAAAATTCCCGGAAAAGTCATACAAAAATACGGGCTTGGATGACTCTTGGGATTGTTTGAAACGGACACAAATCAATCCATCTTACCTTCTGGACTAGAATAACTGGGTTCTGTATGTGCAAGAATGACTATCAGTGATGAGTTCATGATAATAAAAATGAAGACTACCCTCCTTTTATCCCCCTGGACTATTTTTAGGTGTAGATGACTGAGTTCCAGGAGGATGTTGTGCAGCTCTGTGATGTGTGGAGGAGAGGCCGGTGTTCTGCCACCCAGCTACCCCTTCTGTGACTCAAGGAGGTAGAAACTGAAGCCTCAAGCAACCATGTATGTGGTTTACCCAAGGTGCTTCTGCCTACATTTTTTTCCCTGGAGATGCGAAAATATAGGTAAGTTCTAACAGAAGGAATTTAAACTCAAAGTGAGACATTCTTGGTGTTTGACAAAAATAGTGTCATTAAAGAGGATCCCACTGTCAATTTCCCCTAGATGTTTATTCTGAAAACCAACCTAGTCTGTGAAAAATCAAGTCCCTTCCATAAAAGAAAGGTGGGACTGAAGACTCCAAAAACGGATTTTAAATTCTTATTATAATAATCTGCTCTGGAAAATGTTATTGGGGTTAAAATTAAAAAAAAGATGCTTTCATTAGGGACGTGGCCATAAGGAGCCCAGATTTGTCGTATTCCTTAGTTCTTTCTACAAGCAGTAGGGTAATCAAGTCACTCTTTCCTGTTTATGGAGGGCTGCAGTGTGTACATAAACAGGCCCCCCTCTCCTCTGCTTCCACTGCGGGGAGGTCTCAGAATCAGTGTCATGAGTAGCAGCCCTTCCTCTGATGTGGGGAATAACTGGACTGCAGAATATGAACTATCTGTGCCATCACAACCTACTGAAGAATCATAACAACTGATACCAAGTGAGAATTTAATACTGAATTTCTAACTTTTCCCATCAGCAATTTTTTTCTTTTTCCAGGGAGTGCAGTTCCCTGGAAACGTAAGAAACTGCTTCTTATTACCATCAAAGATTAAAAAGGGCTTTCTCCTTATTTAGATTCTAACAAGAAAGAGAAGCCACCCACCATTGTTTTCCTAATTTGCATCTGACAAAGTTATGAAAGTGTTCCTTTAGCAATAGGGTCTTGGGTTTCTCACTGGGGATGCAGCTGGCCACAGGCAGAGACCCACAAAGAACAAGTTGCCATGCAGGGAAATTAGACAAGGGCAAAGGAAATGCTCACCACACAATGAAAGTTACCAGAATTCCCAGCCAAAGTCTTTTCATCTGAGCCACTATGACTAGTCCATTACTTCTTCAATGTTCTATGTAATTTTTCTGGTATTTATGACTGTCAACCTTGCTCTTGAATCACGCACATTTACCTTGATGTATTTCTTATCTGGAGGGGGAAAAACACCTGCAATTCCAAGGAGAAATTTGTTCTGAAAGAGTGCTAACAGGGTGAGCAGAGAGGGAGAAGAAGGAAGCCTTGACTTCCTGGTATCAAAATTCAAGGGATATTCTTAAAGCTAGGGTGATGAACATCTACCAAACACTAGAGGCAGCATAGCCTGCCCACAGGCTCTGTAATGAATCATGTGTGACTTGATTTTGGGAGAATTCTCTAAATCCCTGGTCACATGAGGTGCTTTTATCTTACAAAACTCTGACATTTATGGACTTTTCAGAACTTGGTAAGGTGAGTGGAGGGCTCTGCAATCAGGTGATAGAAAAAATAGAACACATTCTCTCTTGATTTTGCCAAGGAGCAGGACTGGTGCATGCAAGTGTGTGTGTGTGTTTTATAGGAATGGGTGCCTTTTAAGCCTGGAATGTCCTCAGTCATGTGGAAAATTGAAGGTGAGGGAAGAGCAGAGTTTAAGTAAAAGGACACCTCAGATGAATAGGTTCACATCCCATTCACAAGCTTACAGCAATCATAATATAGGATGATCCCTAATTAAACAATTGATGCTCAGAAAAGCAACGTGGGGCATTCTGCTATGGAGAAGCAGGGAGGACTGCAACTGGTTACAGAGTGGCTTAAGAGGGTGGCTGAGGCAAATAGGGTGAGGCAAATAGTGTAGTCATATTAACAGGACAGAGCCCCTGGGAAGGATATTACTCAAATGCCTCAGAGAAAAGCTGAATTCGGTGGTGTAAGGACTGTAGAGCAAGGAGCTCCCTACTGAGGCTCAGAAAACCCAGGTTCGAATTCCTGCTGTACCACTTAAAAGCTATGTGACCATAAGCCTCAGGTTCCTGAGAAAGAGGGAATCTGATGTACTTCTTTCAAAAGGGGCTTGCTAGGAAGTCATTCAGTCAAAGTCCTTAGCACAGTACTCAGCACATTGCAAATACTCCAAAAAAAAAAAAGGGAAGCCATTATTATTAGTACTAACAGTAATAAATATAAAGCAATAGTGCTGGAGCAGGGACTATAATTTAGTATCAGGTTGTAAAACAAAGGGAATGAAGTCTATAAAAATACAAGTGATAACTAAGTTTGCTCAAAATTCTATTATCACTAAAAAGCTTTGGGGCTTCTGTCCTATTCTTGTTAAGACCCAGGAGGTCACTTTCAGGATGGGTGATGCACCCAGAAACCTGCCTTCTGAAGCCATTTGCATACCATCTGATCACAGAACATTCCTCATTAAAAAAAAAAAAGGAAGGGGGAAAAGCTAAACACATACACACAAACAAACCAGTTGATTCAATAAAGAGCTGCTGGTGAGTGCTCATTCCAAGATAATAAACCAAGCAAAACGTCTGGCTGCGTTTAAAATCAACAAAACCAGCAGGAAAGGCAGAAGGAAGAGAAGGGAGCTATCAGCTTGTTTTTAAAGCAGCCAGCAGTGCTGCTTCAGCAGGGGCCAGCTTTGAGGAGCTCCCAAGAGAGGGGAAAGGAGACAAATGCAGACAGGACTGAAGCTGAGGACAGGAGAGGGCGGAGTCCAGGCCTAATGAGATGCAGATGTAGCCTCTGGGCTTGTGGGAAGCCTTCTCCAGGATTCCAGGCCTCCTTGAGAGTTCTGGCCTAGGTGGGCATTGCGAGTAGAGATCTCAGAGCCTTGCCTGAGCTAACCCATCCAGATAATAAAAATAGAATACAAATGCCAACGGCCACATTTACTGAACATTCTACTGTGCACTAAGCTTTTGACATGCATTTTTAAACTTAGCTTATAGGTGAGGAAATTGAGGCTCAGCGAGGTGAGGGGACTTGCCCACAACTTGTAAGTGGTAGTGTCATCTGCCTCATCCTTAACTCCAGTTCCTTAACACAAAGCTATACTGCATTTTAGGGTGAAAAACTAGACATGCTATCCAGTTAACTGGATCTGAGAAATGCAAATTGGGAAGGAAAAGATTGAAAATATCCAATTGTGAGTTTAAATCCAATTGACATCTAGGAAAAGCCAGTCATAATATTGCCAGATGAAAGGACCTTTGGCTCTATTTCTGCATGCAGTGGGAGGCCAGGTTTGGCCCTGAGTTCCCTGACAGAAAAGGCACCATGCAAACCCGAGACGGTGCCTGGGCCTGCCTCCCTCAGGTGCCCTACCGATGGTGCAGTGCTCGCCGTTCCAGCCTGGGCTGCACTCGCATTTGCCATCGCGGCAGGTCCCATGTTCGGCACAGCGAGGGTGGCAGGCGCGCTGGTCACAGGCTGCACCCATCCAGCCGTCCTCACATCGGCAGGTGCCTCCCACGCAGACGCCATGGCCGCCACAATCAGCAGCACAGATCTCTGTGGGGGGAGAGGAGGAGAAGGGAGGAAACCAGGGAGAGTGGGAGGAGGGTGGGAGGGAAGAGGCCAGAAGGGCAGGGAGGGATGAGAGAGAAAACACACGTTGAGAAAGTTATTGTTTGGAACAAGGGTCACACTTGGCTACCTACCTAGGCTTCTGTGAGCAATTGGGATTCCCGAGGCTTGGGAGACTAATCTCCGTGGACAATGACCCTCAGACAAGAACAATTCTCTGGGCAGATCCTGCTCTGAGAGTCCATTTCCCCACGAAAATAGGATGAATGGAAGGGCTCTATTTGCTTTTTCCTTTTGCCAGCCTGTCCCCGCTTTTGTGCTTGCCACTTCCAAAGGGGACTGGCCTTCTGAACAGATGTGAGGAAAAGTCACATTTAATTAAAAATCAGTTATGTGTGAAAAGAAAGTGAAGATGAGTCCCTGATGGCCAAGTCAAGTGCTACGAATCTTGGGTCATGTGAAGTGGTCCAGCTTTGACTCTAATTGAAGTGAGGGTGGAAGGGTTGCCAGGCTCCCCTGCCCATGGAGAGACTGCATTCTCCAAAATCTGCCGTTTGTTCTGTGCTTCTGCTGGGTTTATTCACTGTCCTCTTGCTCACTTCTCCTTCAGCACAATTCCAAGCACCATCTAAATGGAATTTCAGATCCAAAGCAAACAGTTGGGGAGGGAGCGGGCACTTCATAACCAGAGCAGAGTTGTCCAGCCCTTCACAAAGAACCGTCTGTGAGATCACGCAGAACACACAGAGGGCGTGATTCACAAGCTCACCAGGCTCTCCGCCAGCAACAGCTTCATGGTTACTGCAGGCAGAGGTGGTAAAAGCTTCCAAAACACAACTGCAGTTTAGGAAACAGGCTGAGCAAATGTGTCCACTGCTACTCTCTGCCAGGGCTGTGATGGAGACAGGACTTGTGTCTTAGATCTCACGGCCTAACTTTCTTCAAACTCATTTGACCACGCCAACACCTTTTATTTCTTCCAAAGTACATGTCTTTCCTTCTCCTTTAGTAAAACTAAAACTATGCTAAATTGTATCTACCCATTACTCTTCCTCAGGCTGCATTCCTGGTTTAGAAGGTGCTGCTGTTGCCGCTAAGGAGGCCTGGAGCTATAGTGGCTGCTGTTCAGATCCACCAGCAATTCCACAGGAAAAAGATGAGGCTTTCTGCTCCTATAAAGATTTATAGCCTCAGAAACCCTATCCAGGGTCGCTATGAGTCAGAACTCACTTGATGGCATACCACCACTACTACCACTTTTGAAACGGGAAAGAAAACATTGGATGCAGAGACTCAGACCTCTATCCCAACCTAGAAGGCAATGGTCAAAAGATTTGAAGTTGAAAAACAAAACCAAACAATTAAAAACAACTGTTGGTGTTCATTGCTGCTGAGTCTGTTCTGACTCACAGCGACCCTGTACAGGGTTTCTAAGGAGCAGCTAGCTGTGGGTTTAAACCACCACCCTGAAGTTCAAATCAACCTTGTATCCCTCAATTACTTTTTATGGTGTGCTTCTATGCAAGCCCCCATTGCCAATGAGAGGAACTGCTCAGAAGGAAGGTGCTGCTGGCAGCCACATACTAGATTTCTAAGCTGTCCAAAGGATGAATTCTGCTGTAAAATGAGTGGAAGAAACCTGGGTTTGGTCCCCGGCTCAGCAATTTCTGAGCTGTATGACCTTGGGTACATCCTTTGATTTCCTAATCTGAAGAGTGTGAGCAATAATGCTGTTGCTTCTGAGCAGCCATCTGCTGACCTAGCTGGGCTATAGGCTGCCCTTGGTGAAGTAGGGGACAGAAAAAGGCAGGACAAACATCGCTAACCCCTGAAAGGTTTCTGAAATTAAGGCCAGGACAGTGAGCTTTAGAAGGAAGTCTAAGGACCAGGTTTGTGACATCTATCCCTGATCAACCATTCCTCAGCTCTGTGACCTTAGTAAAGTCACTTCCCCTCTTTGGGTATCGGTATCCTCAACTATTGCAGAGGAAACCTGTGGGCATTGCCTTATTCTTTCTTTTCCCATATTACATGGTGGAGTGGTTTTCTGTTTCTGTGTTGGTTTCACCATCAGACTAAGAACAATCCTAAAATTGTTCTTAGGACAGGGGCTGGGTATAATTCCTCTCCTCACCTTCACCCCTGGTAGCCAGCATAGGCTTTGGCACAGAAAAAATCTTAATTACGACTTGCTAGAGAATGAATAAATCAGTGAGTGCCTAGGGCTACGGTGGTGGTGGTGTGCTGTGAAGTCGGTGCCGTCTCATAGTGACCCTGTGTAGAGCTTTCACGGCTATAAATCTTTACGGGAGCATAAAGCTTCACTTTTCTCCTGGAAAGCTGCTGGTAGTTTCAAACCACTGACCTTGTTAGCAGCCTGACTTGTAACCCACTATTTGGGTCAAGGCACTGGACTGCATGGTTGGTTTGAACCACAAAGTCAGCAGTTCAAGCTCACCAGCCATGCTGTTGTTCAGGTTTTCTTCCCTTCTCACTCACACAGAAAACACCTTAGACTTTCCTCAAGACAAAGAATAACCACCTCCAGGCTCCGGGCCTCCCTAGACCCTGACTCTGAAATTCCCATCTCTTCTGTACATTACCACAGGGCAATGACTTCTTTTTACAATGGAGGCTGGGCCTGAGGTCAGGTCTGGAACTTGTCCCTGTAAACATTGGGAGAGACGGTTCACTGATTACCTATTTGGGTTTACTCAGCACTTTTTCCAGGTGGCAATTTATGGTATGAGACTCAACAGCAAACAGCAAGCACTTCTGTCCACTGAAGTGTGAACCAAGCGAGACAACGGAGATGTGGAATTCATAATGGACAAGAGCAGAAGAGCCAGACTGCTCCTCTCATTTCACTGACTGTGGGACTTAGCTAGGAGGTAGTTCACTCATGTATTACTTAATCTGGAGGCAATGTATATATGAAAGAGTTTTAGGCTTGGAATCAGTCAGTCATGATTCCAAATCCTAGTTATACCAGCAGCATAACCTTAGGCAACTTACTCAATTGTTCTGAGCTTCACTTTCCTCCTCTGTAAAACAAGAATGATGACAGCATCCACTTATGAAGGTGATTTTTAGTGTCTGATACAGAGTAAGTATTAATACTTTCATACTGATTTCTTTTCTTCCAATACCTACTCTACACATGCCTCCTGTATGCCAGAGACTATGCCTGGTTGCTTGACCTATGTTGTTGGTTAGTACCATGGAGTTGGTTCCAACTCATAGTGATCCTGCACAGAGTTTCTGAGGCTGTAAATCTTTATGGGAGGGGAGCGCCTCATTTCACCTGTGGAACTGTTGGTAGTTTCGAACTGCTGACCTTGAGGTTGGCAGCCCGATTCGTAACCACTATGCTACCAGAGCTCCTTATGCCTGGTGCTTGACCTATAGAGGTTGATAAAAATACAATCTTTGCCCTCCAGCAGGTCATAGTTCAGATAAAGATGATACTGACATTCCAAAGATTTTCCAATCTGCGACTGTTACTGCTAGACCTTCTTACCTATGTGTAATGGACAAAAAACAATAAAAAAGCAAAAGAATCTCTGAACAGTATTATGAATTGAACAGTGGCTATGACACTTACTAGTTGGATAACCTGCAAATTGCATGTTATGTAATCCATTGATTCCCCACATTCCCTTTCTGTAAAATGGGGATAATAATTCTCACTTCACTAATCTCACAGCATTGTTGTTAAATCCAATGAGCCAATTTGTGTGAAAATCTTCTTTGGGCTATAAAGCACGCTTGACACACACTTTCTCATTGAACTATTACCAAATTCTAGGAGACCACCTGGCTCTGATCCTTCTTTTAGGTGAGGACATTAGTTTAAGTTATGTGGTCATCTGGGACTTTTCCTTGTTTTGACAATTCTCAGAACGATATGCAACAGGCACTTTACAGAAGGAAACTGAGCCTCAGAACAGGCAAGGAACAATTACACAGCATGAGCAGCCTCCCCTTTGAGGGAACAGCAGATCCCCTCCATGTCTGGCCCTTCTGCTTATCCTCTGTTATATCCATGTCAGAGCTCTGGTTATATGTGTAATGAAATGAGATCTTCTTTACTCAGATTTTCCCAGACACCCAGTCTAGCACTCCTCAGCCAGACTGTGGAGCTGTCCATCCAAACATTCCATTTCCTTACTAGCCTATACCAGACATGATCTCCAGCAACAAAACTGGGATTGTCTGATGGCTAGGCACCCCTCCATAAGTCCTTTACAAGCTGCATCCTGAGCTGTTAAGTCATTTAATGGAAGGGGCCTGAATGGGATGGGGGTGACCTTGATGTTTATGGGGTACCAAATGATGGTAACAGATCTTTTCATCACTCAGGTTCTTCTCTGTAGATGGGTTTCTTTGAGAGGAAGAGCAGAAACCTAAGATGCTACTTTATCAGATTATTTTTCATATACCTTGATTTTATTTCTTTGACTTTAAATAAAAGGAATTGCTTTCCTTTTGCCTTTCCCAATTCTACCTTGACATTGAAGCAGTGGTTGGTGGAAAATAAATAGGATAAAGCTAAAGAATATGCTTTGACAACATATATGCCTATTACATAACTGGTCCTCAGTGAGATTTGGGCCACAGATCTCTTTTCCTCATTTGTAAACTTGGGATAACACCATAACTATTAAGGATTGCTTTAGGAATTATACTCATTGGCTTAATTCCTTGAGTGACCACTATGTGCTAATCCTACTGGGTACCCACCAGTGATTTTGACATACATGGTCCTACTGTTCTCAAGGGGTTTATATTCTAGCATGGCAGACAGCTATAAATTTAAATGAATAAAATAAGTTAATGTGAATGCCAGTATAGCCTGTAGCAGAGGATATAAATCATACACATGCACACATTTTTATAAGAAAGGAAATATGATGTAGTGGCAAGAAAACGAGACTGAAATCAGAAGATTAGATACAAATTCTGGGCTGGGCAACACAGCCAAT